CTCTTACATGAGTACCGGGTACAAGATTTCCTGCGCCCTTGATTTAATTTAATCATTTAACATCTTTTACTTAACTTTAATTGTTAAAGATCTCACAGGATAGGTACCAGTTGCCACGTTGTCCTGTTTCTGACATTCACTATTGAATATTCGTGTACCTTTATTTGCTAATTTCACCATGTTTCGTCTCCAAGCTTTCCGTGCAAATCCAGCAGGTGAAATAGGGACTTTAAGTCGTGCCAAGAAGACTGAATTACAAACTCTTGCACATGAGTATCAACTAGAAGTTCCCTACCAAGCCAACAAAAATGACCTACACAACCTGTTGCTGCATTACTATTTAGAGCAAGGTAAGATAGACTCTGAAACTCGTGAAACTTACTATATTGCAGAAAAAACTGATTTGGCAACGCTGAAACTCAAACTAGAGCTGGCCAAGATTGAAGAACGAACAGCTGCCATAAGAAGGGAAGAACACGAACGTGAGGCTGCTTTGAGGAGAGACGAACAAGAACGCGAAGCTGCCTTGAGGAGAGAAGAACACGAACGTGGACTCGCCCTCCACGAACGTGAGGTCGCATTACTCCGTGAACGTGAACGAGTACAGCTTGAAACACTCCAGGAGCGGGAACGCGTACAGCTTGAAACCAAACAACGCGAGTTGGAGATGCAACGCGAACATGACAAGCAACAAGCGACTCTGGCTCTAGAGTGTCGTCAACGAGAAATCGCCTTGGAAACTTCACACTTCACTCAACGCCAACAAGCTACTGCCAATCTTCCCGTCAGTTTTAATATATCACATGCAAGTAAGTTAATGCCATCCTTTGTAGAAGAAGAAGTTGATGTGTTTTTCACCACCTTTGAAACCCTTGCTAATCAACTCAGTTGGCCTGTCGACCAATGGTCCACACTTCTCAGAGTTCATCTTACAGGTAGAGCTGCAGTCACACTCAGTACTTTGGCGTCTGAGAATGACTACCACACTCTGAAACAAGCAGTGTTAGACGCCTACCTACTTTCCACAGAAAGTTATAGAAGGAAATTCCGTGACCACCTGAAGGCAAGTACCACTACCTTCCTCGAGTTTGCTAACACGAAACGGAGGTATTTCATGAAATGGCTGGAAGCAGCACATGTCTTTACTTTTACAGAACTCGTCAACCTGATGCTTGTTGAAGAATTCTTGAGACGTGTGCCGCCTCCTGTCCGCCTCTACTTAGCAGATAAAGAAGAAACCGACTACCTGAAGTGTGCTAAGTCGGCTGACACTTACAGCCTCATCCACCGGCTGACACCCGAACCATCCTCCAGTAAGAAGTCGTGGTACAGTTACGAGAAAGTGAGCCCCGATCAAGCTGGTTCACAACTGTACTGCAAGTATTGTAGACTCTATGGACATACCATAGACAAGTGTGGTAAGTCTCAATACAAGGGAACCACTGACCAACAAAAACCCAAACCAACTCCTCCTAAGTCCGGTAAGCCTGTGATGAATGTTGGTGTTAATATTAATGATCTTTCTCTTTTCAGTAACCACCTGTATACTGGAACTGTCTCTGCCAACGGTTCAAATCCGGAGGGACGTTCCAAATTGAAGATCTTGAGGGACACAGCGGCTCTTCAATCGATCATCTTGAAGTCGGCTGTGCCCAACATCACCTACACCGGAGAAACTGTCTTCATCACTGACCTCACTGCTACCACTCCATACCCTCTCAACAGAGTCCACCATAATTGTCCCTACGTGAACGGGGAAGTCCAAGTCGCCGTCAGGAAAAAGCCTTTTCCCATGCCTGGAGTGCAACTTCTCCTAGGCAACGACTTGGCAGAAGACCTGCAACCGACCACCCTGATCGTCATGGACAAACCCCAGGTGTGTAACTCTGTGCCAAGTAACCCTATTCTAGAGTATGTTCCAGCAGAGGTTCAAGAGAGTGATGAAGTTTCTCCTCCGGTTCTCGTGACCACCCGTGCACAAGCCGCACGTCCACAGCCAGCTGACTCTACTGCTACCGCTGTCCCTCAAGACCCTCAGAAACTCCCCCCGCATCTGACCAAGTTGGAGTTCCGTAAGTTGCAGAGGGAAGATCTTACTTTAACACCATTGTTTTTCCAGGCTGAGACTCAACCCGACAGTATTCCTGGGTTCTTCCTAGAGAACGACTTGCTCTACCGCAGATATAGACCCAGTAAACTGAAGGAGGAGGACGATTGGGCCAACATCGAACAACTTGCGATTCCCACCAGCCTGCGGCCCACTATTCTACACCTGGCCCACGGAGCACTCTCCCACTACGGCTTCAACAAGACTTACCATGGAATTCGTCAAGACTACTACTGGCCAGGTATGGTAAATAACGTCAAACAGTACGTAAAACAGTGTCATACATGTCAGATGGCAGGCAAACCGAACATCTCCATTCCCAGAGCGCCACTGATTCCCATACAGGTGCCTGCGGAACCTTTCCACAGACTCATAATAGACTGTGTCGGTCCTTTACCTCGGACCAGTTCAGGTAACGCCTACATCCTAACCATCCTGTGTCCTACCACCAGATTTCCCATAGCAGTTCCAGTGAAGAACATCACGGCTGCTACGGTTATAAAACATCTATTGAAGATCTTCACTCAATACGGATTTCCCAGGGAGATTCAGAGCGACTGTGGTACCAACTTCACCAGTGATCTCTTCAAAAGGACACTGGAGGAGTTCAACATCAAACAGGTATTGTCCAGCCCCTATCATCCTGCTTCACAGGGTTCTCTTGAACGTAGTCATCAGACAATCAAAGCACTCTTGAAAAAGTTTTGTAGTGAAACCTCTAAGGATTGGGATAAGCAGATTGACCTTATAATGTGTATTTTCAGAAGTCTCCCCAATGAGTCCCTAGGAGTATCTCCTTATGAGATGCTCTACGGCCGTAAGTGCCGTACTCCCCTTAAGGCTTTCAAAGACTCTCTCAGAGATGCCACCTTCAGTGAGCATCAGAATGTGCCCCAGTTTCTTCAAAACCTTCAACACATTCTAGAGAGAGTCCACCGTTTTGCCCATGATAATCTATTGAAAGCCCAGGAGAGAATGAAGACTCATTATGACCAGATCAGCAAAGTAAGAAAATTCAAGCCGGGAGACTTCGTCCTTGCATATTTCCCTATCCCAGGTTCACCTTTACAAAACAGGTTTTCAGGACCCTACTGCGTCAAAGAGTGCAGGAATAATAACAACTACGTAATAGAGACTCCAGATAGGCGGCGGAAGACCCAGCTGTGCCACGTCAACCTCCTGAAGCAATATAATGGTACTCCTCCCACTGTCCTAATTAACTATTCCACCTTCACAGAACCCTACATCCACAGTGAGACCTTCCCAGCTTCTCCTCCCGAAAGCACTGACAAGGAGTCAGCGCTTTCTAATTCCGAAATCCTTAATGATCTTCCCAAATGCTTTCAGGATAATAATCGATAATAATTTGCCCTATTCTAATTCCACTCTCACCTCGTCAGATAAGCCCTTCATCCTCCATGTCGACGCCATTGGTACCGACGTGGGTGGTGTCGCGATGCAGCAACGAGGCGAGGAGAATACACCTGTCAGCGACTACTGCTACAAGGAACTACGGAACAATTGGCAAGGAGCTACTCTTCCTCATCCTGAAGCTCCAGCACTTCACTCCACACCTGAAAAGTGCTCGGTCCACCATCAACACGGACCACACCACCCTACACCTCCTGCAGCACGCCCACTTCTCATCTCAACGTCTTCTACTATGGGCTTGCTAACTGCAGAAATTCAACCTGGAGACACGCTATACCAAGAGTCTGACAACATCTTAGCCCATGATCTCTCCAGAGTTTATGAAGTAGAAGCGACTCCATCTAATACTCCACCACATAACGACGTACTTCTTCCAGAACCGCAGGCTTCGGGGGAGAGTTGTGACAATAATCTCCTTCAAGAGATTGAGCCTGCTCTTCCCTCCACAATTACGTCGTTACAACTATATAAAACTACTATGGAAGAAATGTCCAACAACGACAACAACACCAGCAAGGTTTGCCAGAGAGCAAAACGTATGCAGCCAGGGACACCTGCTCAGACTCAAACCGCCAAACTACCTGTCTTACTGCCGGCTCCCCGCTGATTGGTCGCCGGTCTGGCTGCAACTGCACTCGCCCCCCCCATACTACTTGATGTCTGGGGCCGCCACGACCTCAGTCCTCAGAATATTCCGTGCTTTCACAGTTAACACTTCTCCCTGCTAGACGTAAGCTTTAGCGTACGTATACTGAGAGAGGTGATAGCTTAAAGCCAATATTCCAGCACCTTTCATTTACTTGTATATTGCACTTCTTGTTATTTTGCTCACTTGTCTTAACGTAACTTTTCATTGTGTCATTTAATTATTCTTATTATTCTTATTGATTGATTTTATTATACGAATTTGTTTGACCATTTTATTCATGTTTTATTTCTTTAACGTAATTAAAATTTCATTGTTAAAATTTACTTGTGTTTTGTGTCTTCTCCTTACCTTACCACAGACGAAGTTCCAGATTTTCTATTTTATTTTAATACTATGTGACGAGGCCATACCCCTAGCTTTGAACAGCCGAACACCAACGCGTTACCGTCACAGTGGAAATAGGTAAATTTCAAAACATCTCTGTCCTGATCACAAAAGCAGACTTTGTATGTAATAATAGCCATTTCTATACATTGGGGGCATAAGCAATTAGTTTATAACACATACTACCCACGAAAATTAAACTGTTACACAGTGGGGAATTATTCTACAATCATCAGAATCTTTTCTGTGGTTTTATTATTGTCTTCTTGGAGAATTTTAGGCCTTCTTATGATTGCTTACCAACTTAGTTACCAACTCTTCTGAGTCTTTGGAGATTTCAGCGTATAAATATTTTCAGCTAGAGCATTAGGTTTGTTACACTAAAGTTCTCCTACCTCAATATTTACTTTTGGCCCTCAGGACAAGTACCTTTGAGACGCCTTCACTGTGAGCCTCGTCGAGGTTGACTCCCCCTCCCAGGTAGTGATGGAACATCTTCCTGGTTACCTCGACTGTGTCTTCCTGGGCCACAGACGCTTCCATCTGGAGACTGATAGGGCCATTGATGCTGAAGTTGGCCTCTAAAGAGTCCTTCAGGTTCTTCGTAGCATAGAGGGCTGATGGATGACAGGACATTAGTTCAGCATAACAAAAATTAAGTTGATGAAGATCTTCAACAGAAATATCATCACATTTTATCAGATAACAGGAAACTCCTCAGAAAAAGGCTTTAACGTATTGCATGAAGAACGCTAATAAAAAGTCAACGAAAATATTGAAGATATATATCGTTCATCTATAAGCATTCCCATGCACTCTGCACTAGGCCCAGACTCGTGGAATTCTATATTCATCAAGACGTGCAAAACACCACTATCACAGGCCCTAAACATCTTTTGGAGACGGAGCCTAGATGCTGGCGTCATCCCTGACATACTTAAAATCACCACTTTATCATATCGCAAAGTAAAGTGGAGATCGCACCACTTTACAAAGAAGGTAGAAGAGTAGATGCACAAAATTATAGACCAATGGCTCTAACCTCACACATCATAAGAATGACCTTAGGTGCCATGGAAGACACGCAAAACGCAAATGTAATATACACAGACTTTGCAAAATCTTTAGACAAATGTGACCTTGGTGTAATTGTGCACAAAATGCGTGCTAAAATAATCACTGGCAAAGTATGGAGAAGGACCTTCAACTTCATAACAAACAGAACGCAGAGTGTAATAGTCAGAACAGTAAAATACGTATCATCTAATGTGAAAAGCTCAGTCCCCCCCAAGGTATCGTATTCGCTCCGGTAGTTTTTCTCATCCTAATATTAGCCATAGAGAAGGATACAAACTACAGCGTTGTATCATTTGCGGATAACTCTAGGATTTTCATGCGAATGACACACGACAAACCTCAAATTGGATGTAAATCGTGTCTTTCAGTGAGCCACAGAGAATAAACTGATGTTTAATGAAAATGGGTTCTAGCTCCTGTAATGTGGAAAAAAAACGAAAATGTAAAAACGGAACTATATATTAAACGGAATCAGATCACAATATAGAACGAAAAGGTAATGTATATGATCTAGGAGTAATCATGCTAGAAGACCTTACTTTTACAGAACACCATAAAGTAGGTGTCACGACTGCAAGAAAATGACAGGTTAGATACCAAGGACCTTCCAAACAAGGAACGCCATATCAATGATGATACGTTTCAAGACACTAGTGCTCTCAACGGTGGAATATTTTTGAACTCTAACAGCCCCATTCAGAGCCGGAGAAAATGCAGATTTAATTGTACATTATAATTATAATTATTATTATTATTGAGAAAATCCACAGGAGTCGTGATGAGGACTCGAACCTATTCACTGGATGGTCTAAGATGCACGCTCTAGTCGACTATGCCACGACATGGAAAAAAGTTTTAAGAGCGTTCATCAACACCCAGCGCATAGGTTCGAATCCTCATCACAGCTTCAGTTGATTTTCTCATTGATATATCATAATAATGGGAGTTCTCTGTATTATTATTATTATTATTATTATTATTATTATTATTATTATTATGTAGATCTGTAAATTATTATATTCTTATGCACTTTTGTTCCTTAGTGACTATAATTTAAGAATACAAAAAATACCGACCATGAGCCAAAAAGGCCCCTTCATCACGCGTCACTCCAGACATGATGTCCACCATTTTGTATTGTCCTTCAAGGATCATCTTGGTTGGATCTTCTGGAATGAAATCGCCATCAACCCGAGGACCGAAGACAACGGGCAAGATGAACCATTGCTGTAAGAGAGGGCAGGATGTGTTATTGTAATTGGACAGGGCATGATGTACTATTCAGTAGTAGGGGCTTTGCAATGAAAAACACCAACACAAAATAAGCAAAGCTAAATCACTTGAGATGAACCTTAAAATCAAAATATTATTAGTCATAGCAGTAACTCACTAAGTAGTCTTGGAACGAGGCCGCCAGCTTTCGGGCGTCGACCTCCTGGAGACAGTGCAGGAGGACCTGGCTGTCCTGGTCGGCAGGGCACCCCAGGGTCTGTGCTAAGTCCTTAGTCGCCTCCTGGTTCTTGAACCCTCTGGCCCACGGCGACAGAGCTGACCCGGACTGCATGATGGCCCGGGAGAACAGCCCTGGTAGTTGGAGAAGTCAGAGGAGATCTGTCTTGAAGCATGAGGTCAAGGGACTGACTGTATTGAGGCAGATCAGATATACATTTGTCTGTCTTAGTAAAAAACAAACCAAATAGGTTAGTCTCGAGCTATGAGGTAAGTCAGTTCTAAGATAGATGTCGTAGTCAATCCTTAGGAAGAAGTGGTCAGTAAAATCTAATCTAATTAAGATTTGGGCTTACACTAAAATGTTTTCACATACAAAATACTATGCTATCGTGGTACCAATGCTTCACTTAGCCGTTCACATTATGACTTCTACAAGACGACTTCTCATCCCTTAGTGTCACTTGTAGAACTGAATAGTCAACACTCTTCCCAACACTCATTGCGTTCTTGCTCCGGGATTCCAATGTGAGGATCCAATCCTACCTTTCTTTCGATCTGTTGTCTTCCTCTTTCACTACTACACTCCTGGCCACAGTTTCTCTAGTTGCCTGTATCATTCCTTTTCCCCCGACCCATCCCAAATCCTTATCCTGACCCCTTTCCCAGTGCTATATAGTCGTCATGGCTTGGCGCTTTCTCCCGATAACTGCAACTCCTCTCACTCTACCCTTTCTCACCTTTAGATTTCGGTGAGAGTATCTGGTAGTGGACGGAGGCACTACCGGCACTCTCACCGAAGATGGTGACCTTGGTCTTGTCTCCGCCAAAGTTGTGGATGTTCCTCTGCACCCAGTGGAGCGCCATCGTCTGGTCCTTCAACCCGTAATTACCGGGGATTACAGAATCTTCCGTCGACAGGAAACCTTGAAGGAAAGAAGCAAATGCAAGTCCTTAGAGTCATGAGCAGGTGTAGCAGGGCTGAGAGAGTACATGTAACATACACGGTTGAATACACAATGTGAACATTATGGAAACCACTGAAAGAGACGTTTTACCGTGTACTCACCTAAGACCCCAAGTCTGTACTGGAGGACGACCAGCACCACGTCATGGTTGAGGAGGACGTAAGGAAGATACTCGAGGGATCCTCCAGCAAACCACCCTCCTCCGTGGATCCACACCATCACCGGAAGGTCGGACTTGGGCCCCTTGTCCTGCACGATGTAATGACTAAAATGAGTGGCACACGAGAACACTTGGGCATCATTGAGTGGGATAACGCTCATATAATAACCTTAAAGTGAATGATATAATTAACTCATGAAGCGAAATACGAGTCATTACTAATGAAATTGTTATTAATGGGAAAATAGTCCCACATCACCCATAAATCGGTAATGAAATAAAAATAAATTGCTGCTTGTTGTGTTAATTCCATTATAAATAAACAGATTAGTCATAAAAGAAACTGAAAATGATGGCGTTACTCAAGAAAAGGAGGTTAATTTCCCCCGTGTCGCTATCATCTTGTTTCAAAATCTATTTAGCTAATTTATTATTTTTTGTTTTAATTTTTTCCCGAGGGGCGAGTTTATTGGGCAGCGCCACTCATCCTGTGAATAATGTTAAACCAAAATCATCAGTCTCAAGACTAAAACCAAAATAAAATGAATCTACTAAATTAATTATATAGTCAATAAAGATTTGACCTCAAACCCATTCCTTCTTCCGATTCTCAATGAAAACGAGTTGATATGACGCCGAGGCGGGAGGAGGGTAGCCATGGTTGGTGTTGGGGATGCCTGAGCTGCGACAGAGCGTGCCTCCCACAATGCAGAAAATGACTCCATCAAGTCCCAGAACGCAGCGTGACTGGCATTAGTCACTATTTGTTGCCAAGATTTGACAGAACCAAGGAAAGTACAGAGCTTGGTTTTTTCTAATAGTACATATTTTTTGGCCAATAATATGTATCAAGGATTAAATCATTACGATGCAGGAAAACACCACCCGAAAGGTTTTATTAATTATTAATTACCTAAATTTTATGTGTAACACGTAAGCTTTACACGTGATCGTCATTTTTTATGGCGTAACATGTTGGGAGGTAAACTGTGACTGCATGAAACATCAGTTGAGTTAGTACAGCCCAGGACCACGTGGACGCCATTAATACCTGTCCTGTACAGAGTACACGTGTCCCAGAAATCCGATGTTGGATGACCAACCAACAATATCGAATCAGCTGAGATTGTTTTAAATTATAACTAACACATTTGTAGCAGTACTAATAACTATTTAATTACAGTTTAGTACGGAAGTTTATATAAATTGTTTCATTACGGTGTGATAAACTGAAGTATGAATCCCCTCAAAATGTAAGAAGGGAAGTTTACTGGTGATAATAAATTATAAAAATACAGTCCACTCACAAGTAATAAATAAGTAATAAATACAATTAAATACATTCCCTTGAATACATAATCAAATCAATCACCGGTAGATTCCCCCACAAATAATAATGACAGGAACTCATAATTCAAAATAATGGTAACCATAATGATACAGGTAAACTGAAGATGGATAAATTAATAACAATGTGAGGTGGAACATTGATATTTATGAGAAAATCTGTAGGAGCAGTAATGAAGGCTCGAACCTATGCAGTGGGTGTTCCTACGCACACGTCCTAGTCAACTCCAGTAGAATTCCAGGTTGCAATCCTTTTTACCATGTCATGGCCTAGTTGACTAGGATGTGTGCCTGGGAACACCCAGCACATAGGTTCGAACCCTCATCACGGCTCCTACGGATTTTCTCATTGACACATCACGTTAGTGTGATTACTCTCTGTGTATTGACCTTTACCTGGTTAAATGATGAAACGTTTTACAAGGATTGCTCTACCGAGACTTATTCCTCAACACATTCTTATATCCTCATATATTGAAGCTTTCACAAGTATCTCCAGGCTGGATGTAACTTGCACCAAGGAATTCGTGCTTAGACAAAGGCTTAAATATGTACCATATATTCAGTATAAGGATGACACAAGATATGTACAAACAACCACAGCTCTTGTTTATTCTATAAGTAAGAATCGGCCTACGGTGCTTACATATAAAAATAAATAACCAGAGACTCCTGCCAAGAACTGCTAAGGATTATAATGCGTGTTATATGTACCCACAGTTTTCACACCTTCCCCCCTCCCCACCTTCACAAACCTCTAAAGTTAAACAAAATATATGTTTCAGCTCATAGTCTAACACTTAAAAAATTATAATCGAGGAACACTTATTATTATAAACTCCAATCTTAATCAAATATTTAATAAATGTTTCTGATTAGCAACAACGGATTATAATCCACAAAATAATATTACTAAAGAGCAAATATTAATTAAATTCTAAGTTGCACTTAGTTTTAATAAATTACAAAAAATTGGTCTTGTAAATCAAAATTTAATTATTTATTTTTTAAAACTTTAAATGAAAATTTTAACATTCTTACTTTTTATCTTCCCGATCAAGAGGATTACCATTATCTACTCACACCCTCATTATTTGTATTTCCTCAGGATTCTTTAGTCATTCCTTTTGATTTTCATTATTCCTATTCCTGATTTTTTAAGACGGAATATTCGTTTGATTGACTTATTTATAGCTTCGCTTGCTTCAAACAAAATTGTTGGTTTCATTTAATACTATATTAATTTTAACATTTAATTAAAGTTTTTTTTCTCTACATTATACCATTATACTCTAAATAATGAAAACTCCTCCCCAAGAATTATTCCTATTATTTGTGATGTAAACTATGGATGTACTATCCATGTCAATAGAGTTTCTTTTTTCTTATTTGCCATACTGAATGAGGGTTACAGATTATACACTAATGTTCTGACTCTCTAATTAAAAACAGTATTACTATATATATATATATATATATATATATATATATATATATATATATATATATATATATATATATATATATATATATATCAATAATATTTATTATAAGGGTGAGAACTAACCACGGGAGTGAAGACTAACCACGGCGGGGAAGACTATCCACGGGAGTGAAGACTAACCACGGCGGGGAAGACTATCCACGGGAGTGAAGACTAACCACGGCGGGGAAGACTATCCACGGGAGTGAAGACTAACCACGGCGGGGAAGACTATCCACGGCGGGGAAGACTATCCACGGGAGTGAAGACTAACCACGGCGGGGAAGACTATCCACGGCGGGGAAGACTAACCACGGGAGTGAAGACTAACCACGGCGGGGAAGACTATCCACGGCGGGGAAGACTATCCACGGGAGTGAAGACTAACCACGGCGGGGAAGACTATCCACGGGAGTGAAGACTAACCACGGCGGGGAAGACTATCCACGGCGGGGAAGACTATCCACGGGAGTGAAGACTAACCACAGCGGGGAAGACTATCCACGGGAGTGAAGACTAACCACGGCGGGGAAGACTATCCACGGCGGGGAAGACTATCCACGGCGGGGAAGACTATCCACGGCGGGGAAGACTATCCACGGGAGTGAAGACTAACCACGGCGGGGAAGACTATCCACGGGAGTGAAGACTAACCACGGCGGGGAAGACTATCCACGGCGGGGAAGACTAACCACGGCGGGGAAGACTAACCACGGGAGTGAAGACTAACCACGGCGGGGAAGACTAACCACGGGAGTGAAGACTAACCACGGCGGGGAAGACTATCCACGGCGGGGAAGACTATCCACGGCGGGGAAGACTAACCACGGGAGTGAAGACTAACCACGGCGGGGAAGACTATCCACGGGAGTGAAGACTAACCACGGCGGGGAAGACTATCCACGGGAGTGAAGACTAACCACGGCGGGGAAGACTATCCACGGGAGTGAAGACTATCCACGGCGGGGAAGACTATCCACGGCGGGGAAGACTATCCCCGGGGGTGAAGACTAACCACGGCGGGGAAGACTATCCACGGGAGTGAAGACTAACCACGGCGGGGAAGACTATCCACGGCGGGGAAGACTATCCACGGCGGGGAAGACTATCCACGGGGGTGAAGACTAACCACGGGAGTGAAGACTAACCACGGCGGGGAAGACTATCCACGGCGGGGAAGACTAACCACGGCGGGGAAGACTATCCACGGCGGGGAAGACTATCCACGGGAGTGAAGACTAACCACGGCGGGGAAGACTATCCACGGCGGGGAAGACTATCCACGGCGGGGAAGACTATCCACGGGAGTGAAGACTAACCACGGCGGGGAAGACTATCCACGGGAGTGAAGACTATCCACGGCGGGGAAGACTATCCACGGCGGGGAAGACTAACCACGGGAGTGAAGACTAACCACGGCGGGGAAGACTAACCACGGCGGGGAAGACTATCCACGGCGGGGAAGACTATCCACGGGAGTGAAGACTATCCACGGCGGGGAAGACTATCCACGGGAGTGAAGACTATCCACGGCGGGGAAGACTAACCACGGGAGTGAAGACTAACCACGGCGGGGAAGACTATCCACGGCGGGGAAGACTATCCACGGGAGTGAAGACTAACCACGGCGGGGAAGACTATCCACGGCGGGGAAGACTATCCACGGGAGTGAAGACTATCCACGGCGGTGAAGACTATCCACGGGAGTGAAGAATATCCACGGCGGGGAAGACTATCCACGGGAGTGAAGACTAACCACGGCGGGGAAGACTATCCACGGCGGGGAAGACTATCCACGGGAGTGAAGACTATCCACGGCGGGGAAGACTATCCACGGGAGTGAAGACTATCCACAGCGGGGAAGACTATCCACGGCGGGGAAGACTATCCACGGCGGGGAAGACTATCCACGGCGGGGAAGACTATCCACGGGAGTGAAGACTAACCACGGCGGGGAAGACTATCCACGGCGGGGAAGACTATCCACGGGAGTGAAGACTAACCACGGCGGGGAAGACTAACCACGGCGGGGAAGACTATCCACGGGAGTGAAGACTAACCACGGCGGGGAAGACTATCCACGGCGGGGAAGACTATCCACGGCGGGGAAGACTATCCACGGGAGTGAAGACTATCCACAGCGGGGAAGACTATCCACGGCGGGGAAGACTAACCACGGCGGGGAAGACTATCCACGGGAGTGAAGACTATCCACGGCGGGGAAGACTATCCACGGGAGTGAAGACTAACCACGGCGGG